CCCCCAGGCCCAGTTTCCTACAACTGAGATAGAATGCCGGCCATTAATGGTTGGCCACTCCCATCACTAACCTTTCACCAATTCTCTTTTAAGTAAACTCAATAGGTTCATTGGTTCCCCCAGGGTGAATTCTGATGAAATCAAACTTTAGATTGTCATTGGAACCTAATGAAGAAGGAACAGACACTGTTTAGTCTATCCCTCCATAAACCACACCCAGGAAAAAAGGTTCTCACAACAGATAGTAAATGTGTTTATTACTGATGCTAGTCTTATGGTATTTAAAAATACTAAAAAGATTCATACACGGACTTTCATTTAGTAAAGAAGGATTTATATATAGGAAGATTAAGATGGCTGGGTATTTCCAGAATGGAAAATATGACTACAAAGTTTATGCAAGTTATGAAGTTATGAGTTATTTAAGACATGTAAAGGACAAGACTTTGAGGTGACACATATGGTATTAATGTTTTTAAGGTCAAAGATGAACAATTATAAGAACAGACTAAAATGTACATGTAACCAAAGTTCATTTAAAAGTGTCTGGTTTTTAAAATATTATACTGTGATTAAAAGTGCCAGACTGACTGAGCAGTGGTAATGCACACCTTTAATCCTAGCACTTGAGAGGCAGAGGAAGGCAGATCTCTGAGTTTGAGGTCAGCCTGATCTACAGAGCAAGTTCCAGGACATCCAGGGCTACATAGAGAACCCCTGTCTTGGAAAAAAAAGGCAAACCCAAGAACAACAACATCAAAAAAATCATACTGGTGTTGTAACTAACCTTCTAGGTGTTCAATGAGCATATTTAGAGACCTATGTCATTATGGTCAGAGAGAGTAAAAGAAAGAACATCTTCTCCCTTGCCCTCCAAGATCAACCAGGTCCCAGGGGACTGTGGAATATCCTCTGAAGTATTCTGTAACCATGAGAGTCTCTGTTCTCTTGTTCAGGGAGGCCATGGAGACCCTGTCCCATGGATCCCTGACCAGTATCCAGTGTACAAAGGGAAGGGTCAACACAGGAAACTTTCCTTCCACGTTTCCCAGTTATACAAAGGTCAAGTGAGGCTTTGACTTATCCTTGAGTTGACAGACTGACAAAGAGGAGACAGAGGCTCTTCCCACACCAGATTACCAGTGATATGGAAATGTCAGTCAAATAAACGTTTTCCTCTCCAAGTCACTTTTGGTCATGGTGTTTCATCTCAGCAATAAAAACCTCAACCAAGACAAAGGCCTGTCTTCTTAAATGCCAATATGTCTTTCTTTCTTTCTTTCTTTCTTTCTTTCTTTCTTTCTTTTTTTTTTTTTTTTTTTTTTTTTTTGGTTTTTCGAGACAGGGTTTCTCTGTAGCTTTGGAGGCTGTCCTGGAACTCCTCACTTTGTAGACCAGGCTGGCCTCGAACTCACAGAGATCCGCCTGCCTCTGCCTCCCGAGTGCTGGGATTAAAGGCGTGCGCCACCAGCCAATATGTCTTTCTAGTCAAATTATCCATTTCCCTAATTAAAGGAGACTACCAGATAGCCTGTCATCAAACTCATACATAGGTTTGTGGAAATTATTTGGGATTCCTAAGTGGTGTCCATGGGACATTGCTGGACAATACTATAAAAAGGACCCATTAGGATTCTATTTTTCTTTTAAGTTATCTGTTAGATGCTGAGTTTAGCGGACTTCTCTCACAAAGCTTCTAGCCAATTGTTCCTTATGCAGAAGTCTCATGCAACAAACAGCTGGTTACAGTTACCTTATCCAGCTACACGGCTTTGGTCCATGGCCAGGCAGTTGCACAACTGCGCTTCACCTTACTAAACAAAACATTTTTTCTCATTAACTTAATCTCTTAATGTTCCCTGTCTTAATCAATGTTCTATTACTGTGACGAGACACCATGACCACACAACCCTTATGAAAGAAAGCATTTAACTGGGGCTTGCTTATTGTTTCAGAGGTTTAGTCCATTATCATCATGGCAGGAAGCATGTCAGTACAGGTAGACATGGTGCTGGGGAAGTAACTGTGAATTCTATGAAGTATTTACCTATATTGTTCAGTTATTAATAAAAACTCAGGAGTCAGATATTGGGGTAAAAACCTGATGGAACCAAAGAGTGGGGGGGGGAACAATCAGCTGACTCTAACTCTCCATGCTTCCCAAATTGAAAGGGCTATGAATCTCTCTCAGCATCTCTCTATATCTTCCTGTGCCTCCCTATCTGGGTCCTCCAAAACCTCTATGGCTAATTCCCATCAACCACGTGCTGGCTCCGCCCTCTGATTCAAGGTAAACTTTATTAGCAATCTCTGAGTGTCAGTGAGAACAAATACCCCGCAGCAGTTCTACATCTGGATCCGCAGGCATCAGGAAGAGGAAGACTGGAGCTTGGAATGGACTTTTTGAAACCTCAAAGCCCGCCCCCAGTGACATACTCCCTCCAATAAGGCCACGCCTACTAATCCTTTCAAATAGTACCGCTCCGGGGTGATCAAGTATTCAAATCTATGAGTCTATGGGGGCACCGTTCTCATCCAAACCACCACATTCGCCACGTGGCTGTAATAGGGGAAAACTGATGGCCGATGCTGGACTTACTGGACAGTGAAAAATGTCTGAAGTTCTTTCAACAACGATCTCTTTCCATCTTGTAATGGGCAAGTCTTGCAAACACCTATGGCAAGGCCTGCCTAGAGTTCTTTGGATGTTTTTCCTTGCATGTACTTGTGGGAACACCAGACCTTGAGCAGAGACCCACTTCCCCTTCTGCCTGGGAGTAGGCAGCTGTAAGACAATGTTTACTTAAAAACAATACAATGCCTGGGGGCATTAAGTTCCTGGAAAAGGCCTACCCGCAGAAACCACCCTGAGCTCGACCTTGTCCAGAGACTAACCGCCTCTTCTGCCACACCCAGATCAGTTTCTGGGGTCAGAGAGAGAACCAGCCAGGGTAGGGAAGAGAGCAGAAGCTTCTCTGGTGGGAGCCTTTCTTAGGAAGTTTTCTTGAACCTTTTTGGGGCCTGCTTAAACTTTTCTTTACATCATTGAACAAGTCTCTGTGTTGTCAATCCCCGACACCCTCCGCACGTTCTCGGACACAGGCCGCGCAGCAGACGCGACATGTACTTTTTATCCAGAAAGGGTAAAACAGCCCAGACGATTTTCTTAACTCCATTCCCAGTAAAAATGACAATAGTACTAACAATGTCACTTTTTTTTACAGCTGCTACCTGGCTCACACAATGCTCCCCAAGGATGCGCACCGTCATCACATGGCTGTCGGCCATTGCTTGTTTTATCATAACCCCTTAGACAGACCCTCCTCTGAAGCACCCTGATTTCTGCCCTTTATACGTTGCCTCCATTTGTCAGCTTGAAGCAGTTAAAGCCATCTGCAACCTAAGACCCCTAATAACAGTTCTGTGACCTCTGAGAGAGGGACAGGAGGTAGAGCTCCTGCTAGGCAGACAGATGAGGGAGGGTACAGAAGACTCAGGAATGAGGATGGTAAACTTTCAGAGGCTGGCTTCTTCCTCTCCTGGAACAAAAGCCTTGACAACACCCCACCTCCTACTCCCTGCAGACAGGGCCACCTAATAATGGACTGGCCAGGTGAGTTCAAGGCCAATCAGGATGCAATAGCTGTGCCAACTAATCATCCTGTGCTTGTTCAGGCTAATCAACACGAAATTAAGGGGGAAAGAACCTTAAAAGACTTTTTTTAGGACAGCCTTCACGGAGAGTGGATTTTTCCGGCTCCCAAACTCCCTCTACACTATCTAAAGTCTTTCTCCCCGTGTCTCTGCTGGGCATACCCTCACTTGTCTCAAATTGCTTACCTCACCCCCAGGCTTCCACTTTGTCCAAAGAGACAGTGGGGACCTTTGAGATAGTGGGCAGGACTTTCCCAAAAAGGGTGCACTTTTCCACTTCTGTGAATCCAGCTCCTCCCTGTCTGCCCAGGGGACCTTAGCAGTCCAGAAGAAACCTACTTCACAAGGCCCCCGCCTATGTTCACAGACTCCACTTCCTGTGTGCAACAGGTTCCTACAACCTAACCGCCAACACCTTTGTACCGCAAGATTAGACGGCGCCCTTTTGGCTGTACTCACCTCATTGGCCTTCTCTCTTCCACTTTCCATCTTTTTAATCTTCTAGTTGACAATTTTTCAGGGACCTAACTTCCTTGCTCTAGGTGAATATCTAACCACCCTCCTCATTCAAACCTAAGTCTGCTACCACCTGTTGGTCCCGTTGACACCTGTCTGCTCCGCTGACACCCGTCTGCTCCGGTGACACCTGTGACTTTTGCCTAGAACGTGGGCCATCGAGCTCATCCCTCTTCTTGCCACTCTAAGCTTTCTTTCAGAGCTCAGAACTAGAGCAGCTAGACTGAAGGTTCCTTGGCATCAGTTAACCACTCTGCCCTCCAGCTCTCAGAAAAAGATCTCTCAGGTGAGCCTGATATCCTTCAAGGTCAACTCAACTCTTCGGCTGCCATGGTTCTCCAAAACGAAGAACACTGGATTTCCTGATCGCTGCTAACGGTGGGATCTGAGCCCTCTTCTAGGAATGATACCGCTTCTACACCAACTAATCCAGATTGTTTTGAGATGAGCCCAGGCTAAAAGCTCAATGACCGGCCTCCTCTGGATGGGCTCCTGATTCCCTCCCATCCTCCCCTCCGTCACTTCTTTTCCCCTTATTATTCTTATATTTATGATTTTAACCTGACTTTTAAACTTTTCACAGAAGTTCCTCCTGGACTAGTCACTGCTATTACGAGGTCCACCATACGGGATAAAGACAGTGCTTTGCCTAGAGTCGCTCCAGAAAGAGCCATGCCCGCCTGTAAGGATTCAGGCATTATGCTGGCCTGCCTCTGTCACCTGGCAGAACGCACTCAGGCAGTACCCTGGTCAGCCCAGGGTTCCAGGACCACTAGTCTGCACGCAGGCGCAAAAGAACCCCTTTGAAAGAAAGACCCCTGACCACTTACACGCTCTCTTGCCAGCTCCTCTCTTCTCTGCTGTTTCCCAGGGTCAGAAGGGACTTTTCTGTCTCCCTCTTCTCTTCTATCCTCTCTGTCTGTGCCTCTTTACCTCTTTTCTCTGTCTCTGTTCCCGTCCTGTCCAGTCCCCGTCTGTCATCTTCCCGCCCCCCCCTCACTTAAGATCTGGGTCAACCTCACCCGACGTGGAATCCGCCAAGGTTTGCCACGTGTATTATCATAACACTGCCCACAACACACACACACACACACATACACACACGCCTCTTTATCTATACTCAGGGTCTGGAATAAAAGGATAATGACATAAAACAAAGAGCCTCAGGCAAGTTGAGAAACTGGCAAGAAAGCGAGCCTATCCGTAGGAACAGCTGCCAGGATTTACCATCCTGAAACTGCAGGGAATAAATCTACAGATGGAACTTTCCACCTCCAAAACAAATCCCTTTTCTACCCTTCAAAGCCCTGACTCCCGCTGTGCCTAGCTGCACAGTCTCCCACAGAGAGACCACCGCTCTTCTAATAAAGGACAGCCTGCTCCCATGAGGGCGGCCTCCCCTACCTCACATCACCTCCTGAGCTAAAGCCACAAGGTGCTTTTGGTTGTGTTTTTTTGTTTTTTGTTTTTGTTTTGTTTTTTCGAAACAGGGTGTCTCTGTATTGCCTTGGAGGTTGTCCTGGAACTCGCTCTGTAGACCAGGCTGGCCTTGAACTCACAGAGATCCATCTGCTTCTGCCTCCCAAGTGAGCCACCAATGCCCAGCTTGGTCATGGTACTTTATCACAGCAATAGAAAGCAAACTATACGTCACATATCTATTAATACTAGTCCTTAAGTACATGTTAAAATCATATAATACATTTATCTGGGCTGACGATATAGCTCAGTGGAGAGTGTGTGTCTAGCATTGGTGAAGCCCTAGATTTGATTCTCCAGGAAAGATAAAAAAGAAAAGGGTTGGGGAAGGAAAGTAAAATAAATCTGACTCTGCATCCTGGTGGTGGTGGCACACACCTTTAATCCTAGCACTGGGGAGGCAGAGGCAGGCGGATCTCTGTGAGTTCGAGGCCAGCCTGGTCTACAAAGCAAGTTCAGGACAGCCAGAGCTACACAGAGAAACCCTGTCTCAGAAAAGAAAAAATCTGACGGTGCTTCATACTCACTCATGTTGAAACTCTTGTCTGCAGTGACGTCAGGAACCCTGGCTTTGCATGAGAGGAGGTCTCAGTAAGGAGTCCATGAGGTCACTGTAAGGAGTCCATGAGGTCTCAGTAAGGAGTCCATGAGGATACTGTAGGTGACAGCATGGAGTAGTGTCTTCTTTCCACTCCTGCTGCCACTCAAAACCAGAACCTGAGCTGACTCTGCCACTGTTTAATAAGGCCAGCTGACCACATGTGTGAAAGGAAAATACAAGACTCTTTGTTCAGAAATTATTAAGAATGTCAAGACCACAGCAGAGTATCACACTAGGCAGCTGGTCCTCAGGTGACAGTGACTGACTTGGTGTTGATGGGGCTCGGCACAGGCTGACCCTGGGGCAATCTTTTCCTGTTCCCTCTGACTCACATGTCTCTCACAGAGCAGATACCACAGGAAGTCATAATCTCCGGTCTAGGAACATCAAAAGTGCCAAATCTTATTTTGATCGGTGACCTCTTATTATTCCAGGGGCAATGGCGGCCATTCTCCTCTTGGTGATAACACTGCCTGGCAGACAGTGTGTACTCATGTTTCAGTTCTTGATTAGCCCAGATCAGCCCAAATTAGCTCATTTTAGAGAGTCTGGTTCTTGGTTCATCAAGCCAGGCAAGGCGATGCATGCCTCCCCAGTGCAACCCATCCCCGCACTTGGAAAACTGAGGCAGGGGGACTACTGAAAGTTACAAGTCATCCGGGCTGACTTGGTGAGCCTTTGTATCAAAACAAAGCAAAACTATCCCCAAAAAAGTCCTGTCTAGAAGTCGAATGTCTGCCCCCACTTTTTGGGTCCCTACCTCAAGGAGCATACCATTCACTTCTCTGCTTTGCTTCCAATAACAGATGAGATCTCAGCCATGTGCTTGGCAGCTGAACCTCCTACTCCCAATAGCCAAGAGATATTACATCCTCTCCCCGACTCCTCCCCACTCTTTCCAACTTCTGGAAGCTGTCAGTTAACTTTAAAAAACCAACTGCCTCAAGTCCCATGTGTAAGCAAGAGGACACCGTATCTGTCTTTTGTACCTGAATTTTATATGTGCTCCGTGCTCATTCATATTAGGGCAGTTTGCAGTGTCTCATTGTTTCTAGGGATGAATAGTATTCAATTGTGTATCTGTACCACATTTTCTGTGTCCATTCGTCCATGAATGGACAGACACAGGGCATAGCTGGTAGGAAAATAACTTCTAGTCCTCTACACAATTGAATTCTCATGGCTTCTGACAATTAGTTTAACATTTCAAAATAACTAGAGGAGAGGATTTTGAATGTTCCTAATCCAAAGAATTGAAAAATGTCTGAGGAAATGTTGAACTTTATCAGAGTGGAAATTCCTAAGAGGATGGGGTACTTCTCAAGCCACTGGTGATAATGTTAGGTTCACACACACACACACACACACACACACACACACACACACACACACACACACACACACACGCTCAGTTGGAGGAGCCATGGGGAGGTGTAGGAAGAGAGGGTTACATTAGTTTCAGGGTGTCCATATGTCTAGAAATGAGCTCTAGAGGGATTAGGTGGTTAGACAAGAGTCAGCATTCCTCAGGAACCTGTGAAACTAGCTTCCATCTGCCAAAAAGAGTCATTTCCCTTACCTCTGGCAGAGGGACATTTGGCTACCTAGGACACCCATCCTAGGTGTCCTATCAAAGCCCATGCTGGCCTGTAGGCTCCCTCGGTGCCTGTCATACATTTCAAAAGTCCTTGCTAGCTAGCACCCTGGCCTTCTATTCCCACCCACCCCAGCTACTGGTCCTTATGACCCACCTGATCTGACCCCCACTCTCCTGCTCCCTCTCCTCTTGCTCTCTGTTTTCTATGTCTTGCATCTCTCTATCTCCACCATTCTCTCCGGCTTCTCAAGCCCTGGCCATGTCCAGGCTGCTGTCCTTTCTCTCTGCTCCGGACTCTTCTGGGTGCCTCTGGATATTTCCTCTCTCTTACGCACAATAAAATCCTTCTTCCTAATGATGGAACAGTCATGCCAGCAATCTGTACTGCACCCCCTCACATACAAGTCAGTGTCTCCCTTTCTCTGGGAAGTGGGCCTCCAAACCTGGGAGGCATGGCTGAGACTATCTTAAGTAATGGAACCCTCCTTTGATGGCAGTGCCAAGGAGGAAGCCTCCCTCCAGGGTTCACAACGTGGGGGTCTGAGAATGGAGAGGCATGACGTCAGTCAAACTCATATACACGGACTGTGGATTCATATGGCACCAGTAAGCCAGTGTCACACCCTCCTCAGGACCTGCACAGCGGGTGTGTGTGTGTGTGTGTGTGTGTGTGTGTGTGTGTGTGTGTGTGAGCTGTCAGGGACTGTCCTCCAGGAATGTAGGATTGTGAAGGAGAAGGCTATTAGAGATTCTCACACAGGGTCTTGAGGGGCGGGGGTGGGGGTGTTGTCATTAGCACATGTGAAGGTGAGAGGACAGCTTTAGGAGTTTTCTGCTCCTGAAGGGTTTGTCTCTGTCAGGATTTCCAAAGCAACTTGGGCAGGGACAGGTTATTTCACTCTACAGTTCCCATTCACAGTCCATCACTGAGAGAAGTCAGGGCAGGAGCCCAAACAGAAGCTGAGGCAGAGGCCATGAAGCAGTGATGCTTAGAGCTTGCTCCCCGTGGCTTGCTCAGTCTGCTTTCTTATACAACCAGGGCCACTTACGGGGGTGGCACCACCCACAGTGAGCTTGGCCTCAAACACCAGTCATCATTTAAGAAAATGCCCTACAGGTTTGCTGCAGGCAATCTAGTGTGAGCATTTTTCTCGGTTGAGGTGCCCTCTTTCCAGATGACCCTAGTTTGTGTCGAGTTGACATAAAACCAGTCAGCATAGAGTTCTGGGAAAGGAACTCAAGGCCTCAGGCCTTATCCACTGAGACATCACAATGGCTCTACTCCGGTGTCTTTATAGTGGCTGTATACATGACATTGTGGTTTTCTAAGATACCATAACTTAAAGGGTGATGACATTACAAGGTTTAATGATTAAATTTTAAGTTAAAGATAAAAGTTAGGTAAAAATATCCCAGCTGTTTAGTAGTCTTCCTAATCTTAAGGAATTTCCTATGTTAGCTGGAGTTGTTAGGTGGCTTTATGAGTTACACTGTCTTACTTAGAGATGAAAGAGGAATACTATAACAGGGAGACATCTCAACCTAAGCACAGCTTGTTGCTTTAGCATCTTTGTGATATCTAGGAAAACCATCGTCCTATCTCTGAAGGCAATTGTGGCTTTATCAGCTGTGTTGAAATTTCTTGACTCTCAGTCAGCATGAGAAGGCTTTTTCCCCTTTTCCTGTCCCCTTCATTTCCCGTCTGCTTCTAACCTGCCTCACAGCCCAGGCTGACTGAACTCATTATGTACCTCAGGCTGTGGCGCCTCGACGTGCCACGCCTCAGCCTCTGGAGACCCACACACACTTCCCTCTGTAGCTTCCCTCTTGCAGCCAGATTCTCCCTCAAGATTTGGCTGCAGCCTGCCCCGGCTTCAGCAGGGTACCCTCTCCATCAAATCTCCTCCCTGTGCCCATTTTACAGCTGGCGAAGGAGACCCAGAAACACCTCCTCAAGGCCGAGGACGAACAGAGTTGATCTTGGCTGGAGACCCTGGCATCCCAGGAGAAACACCCTCAGAGTAGTGGGAGGCATCTCCTCCCCCAGCCAAGAGCCTGGGGGCAAGAATCCCGGACCAGCACCGGAAGCCGCCTACAGCCTCTCCTGGAGCTTTCAGAGGTCGCTGTTTCTAAAGAACGAAGCCCTGGGGGCAGGGAGAGGAGGGTGACAGGGAGCTGCGACTGAGGCTCTTTGTAATGGAGCAGGCATAAATACACATTTAGCGGGCCAGCCAGCGCTCCCTGCCACCTGGCCTTAGAGCCGATCTGCGGCAGGCCGGCTGGCGCAGTG